TTTTATTTTTATTTTTTTTGCCTGTGCCCAGTCTAGGATTATGGAAGACAAAAAGAAATCCTAGGGAATTCATCGCCACGTTTTCCCTCAAGTCCTAATGTCTCTAGCCAATCTGTCTTACTCTTTCTGCTTTTCAGTCTTTTTTTGGTTATCTGTAATTATGTACAGGATTCTTAGTTGTATTTAGAGGGCAGTAATGGAGAAAAGTGAGTCAGTGTCATCTCATATAGGACCAGAAGTCTCAAAGAAAGCAGGCTATTTTATTTTATACATCTTTCCTCAATCCATCTCTCCTTACATTTTGCTGTAAATTACAAGAAGAAAGCTTGGAAACCTCCTTATCTACATAATAAGCTCGCCGGTACAGGTTCTGTTTTCCACATAACTGGAAGAGGCAATGTTGTCAGGCTTTCTGTCATTATATAGCAAAGATCTCTCTTCCTCCAGCTTCCAATAATATATTCCTCACTTCTTTTTGAGCTCTGATTGGCAGCATCTTAAAAGTCCAGACGTCTACTAACAGTCTGTTCAAAGCAATTTAGGCTTTTCCTATCACACTCTAAACAATCTTTCCAGCTTCTGTCTACTGACTGCTTAGTTCCAAAGCCACTCCCACAATTTTAGGTATTTTTTATGACATCACCTCACTTTCAGGTATGAAATCCGTATTAGTTATTTATTGCTGCATAACAAATTACCCCAAAACTTAGTAGCTTAAAACAATGTACATTTACTATCTGACAGTTTCTGTGGTCAAGAATCTGGGCATGGCTTAGCTGGATCTTCTATTTCCGGGTCTCTCATAAGGCTGCAGTCAAGTTGCTGACTGGAGACAAAGTCTCATCTGAAGACTCAGCTGGGGAAAGATCTGCTTCTAAGGTCGTTTACATGGTGGTTGGCAGTATTCAGTTCCTTGAGAGTTGTTGGACTGAGGGATTCAGGTCCTTTCTGGCCGTTGGCCGATGACTGCCTTCAGTTCCTTGCTATGAGGGCCCCTCCAGCATTTCAACTTGCTTCATTAAAGGCAGCAAGAAAGAGTCTGCTAGTAATACAGAAGTCACAATCTTATGTTACATCCCATAACCTTTGTCATATTCTCTTGGTTGGAAGCAAGTCCCTACATTTAGCTTACACTCAAGGTGGGTGAGGGGAGAGGGAACACAGATTACACAAGGACATGAACGCTGGGGTAGGCGGATCACTGGGGTACATTGTAAGGTCCACCTGGCACAGTCATCAACATTCCTTACAATTTTAGTGTTTTAATAGCCAATAATACTTGCCTTTTATGGAAAACTTACTAAGCCTCAGTTTTTCACATAAATGAGGATTAAAATAATAACACTGAGATTTTAGAATTTCCAATTCTTATAACTATGCTGTAATACATCACTAATTTATGAAACCATAGTCAATATGACTACATAAAGATTCTTACAGAGCTGATTACTCCCTTCCCTAAAGCACCATGGCATTTTAGCCCTGTCTTCCTTATGAGTTTCAGCACTTTTAAACTTGCAAAGTTTAATTTATAAATAGTTTTATCTCTCCTGCTAGACTCTAGGCTACTATGTATATTTTAAAAACAATTTTTTATCTCTGACTGTACCTAAAATAATATATTACCATGGAGTTCAGTAGATATCTATTTTTTTTAAATAAAATTCCTGTAGCGTTTAAAAAAAATAATAAATTCGATATCTTTGTAACAGTAAAAGTAAGGTACATATTTGGTAGAATATCTCTAGTTCACTTAAGTCAATCAGATACTAGATAGATTGAATACTAATTGAGGAGATTAGTTACAAGCAATATATATCACAACACTGAAAAACAGAGTATTTAATGAGTGAGTTGATGAATATTTATCTTTTCTCTTACATTTATCCCTGTGATATATTTTAGTTTGTTTGTTTCTTTCTCTCTCTCTCTCTTTCTTTCTTTCCATCATCTATCTCTATCTATCTATCTATCTATCTATCTATCTATCTATCTATCTATCTATTTTCTGAACTAGAGTCTGGGTGTGTTTCTTCATATAAAACACTCATTTTATTCCTCCAAAAGAATTTCTACATTATTTATAATATATAGATAATAACATGTTGTGCATTAACATATTCTCATCCATTTATTTTTAATCCAGCATAAGTAGATTTAGATGGTACAAAATTACAAAGAGAAAAACAATTTATTTTCAAAGATCACATATTTTTGTAAGTTTCTAAAAACTGAAAGTTTTAATGTTTCATCTTTAAATAATTATTGTGATTCACTTATTAACCCATAAACCTAATGATATCACCGTCAAATATTTTTTGGCTGCCATGCTATCTTAACATGTTTAATTTGTGGAGGAATTCTAAAAGTTGGATCCCAATTGTATTCTGGTGATAACAACTTAGTGGGCTTATTGATAAAAAAGTACTTGTTTAGGTGACACTCAAATGTGCTGCTAAGTCCATTGTTGATGTCACTAGTTACTGCTCTTTGATATTCTAAAGTGAAGGTTAAAACCTCCTGGGGTGTGCCACCAAAAATTGCACTATGATAATAGAAATCTCCCTCTCCGAAAGGGATGAAAGCTGCTGACTTATATCTTCTCTCATAAGGAACATTTTTAGCATTTTCAAAATACCACCATGCATGAAGTTGAGCTACAGATTTGCCCAGGGTTTCCACTCCAAAGTCTTTCTTGAAGATCTGGTTTATAGTCATACTGAAGAGAAAGTCGACTTCACTCTGGATGTGTTTTATGATGTACATATTTAAATTCCTCATGCGTATGACATTAACATCTTCCCATATTTTTTCTTTTGATGCAGCAATGAGTTTAAATGTCCGAAGGGTACCTAACTCTATGGGAGGTAGTCTGGAGAAGTCATCCATGATGATGTAGAAGATAACTTTGTAGCCACTCATAAAGTGCTTGTTAGCAGATTGGATGAACTGTTTCAAGTACTGTCCTGCAAACCTGTGAAACATGAAAAAACAAACAGAAAAAAACATTTTGTTAAAAATCGTCAGGAGTATGCGTGTTATTTAAATACGCTGTCTAATATATATGTCATTGTTGCTCAGGAACTGCCGGCAGGTCAGGGTGGAGAAGTTGGATCTGGAGCTAAATCGTATTCATTAGTGAAACTGTACTGGTCGTGAACTTGGGGCGAGCGAGAACTTGAGGGCGAGAACTTAGGGGTAGCAACTTGAGAAGACTTGTAGAGTTTATTTTGAAGAAAGAAGAGAGAGCAAAAGAGATATTAATGAAAAGATTCCTAAGTAGTCTTAAGGATTCAGCCATGGCTGGAGAAAATAACCACTATAAATAAATACGAATACAAGTCAGCCAGATAATGTTTAGGGTTATTCAAGAGTAGCTCTTTGGGTGTAGAAAGTTCATGGGTGCTTATATACATTTTTCCAAAATAAAAAAGGATAAATATTAGTAGCACCTACTTTTCAGTAGCCCATACAACCAAGCCTACGGTAATGTTCAGCCTTTTATAATATTTTTCCAGGACCTGTCTATTGTAAGTTCCTTCCCATATGACCGGAGCAAGCCAGTCAGTTGTTGTTGTTACATCAGGACGTTTTCTGTTGATCAAACAAGAAACAAATGAATCAGGTACCACTTTATTATGACAGCAGAAGTTGTCCAAGTGTACATGCTAATAATTATGAAGTACTTACTATGTACCAGCCACAATTATTGAGTGCTTTACTCTACTCAGTTAATCCTTACAATGTCTTATAAGTACCATTATTATCCTTATTTTTTGTATGAGGAAACTTAGACACAGATGGTTAAGTAAATTGCTTAGTATCACACAGCTAATAAATGGCAAAGTCAAGATTCAAGATCAGCTAATTGGGTTTCAGAATCTGTGCTTTAGTCATGGTACCATACTGCCTTTTGAGCCCGGGGATTTTTTTTCTTTGAGCTCTGACTGCAGCTTAAACTTAAGTAGCCCAGGATCTGAACATTTCTCTTGATTGTTGGCTAAAGCAGACAGCACTACTGTCTCCTTATGTCTCCTATTTTTTCCCCTTCTCCTTTTTCTCTTCCTCCCTCCTCTTTTCCTGGAAGCTCTAGAGTATTCTCTTTTCATCTTTTCCCTAATGCTTTAGGCCCATCAGTGCAATTTGGAAGAAAATGAGATTAATCCAAAAATAGAGAATGACATTAGATTTGCTTCTAATAATGACAAAATGACAGCAGAAGTAGCTTCATTAGTAATAATAAATAGCTTGGCTGGAGGCAGAGCATTAAACTATTAAAGCAAATTAAGAACTTCATTTCGAAAGGAAATGAATACAAAGTGAGAAGCCATTTTGCTATTGGTGATTGCAAGTTTAATTACACATTTAGAACCAGACAAGACTAGATTTGAGAACTCTTACTAGTATATTAATAATGATATTCAGTAGTCCCTCTTTATCCAGGGGGGATAGTAAGACGCCCAGTGGATACCTGAAACTGGATAGCCCCGCCTTGTGTCTGGCTTAGTGTCTATGTACAAAGTGGCCCCAGCTACTTAGGTTCCAGTGGAGATTAAACATGGGCTCAATGAACAGACATCCTCTTACTAGGGTTGCGCTATAGCCAGTGCTGAGCGTCCAACCTGCCAACAGCAGGGGCCAACTCCGAGCCCAATATGACACTGTTTCCCAGGGGCACCTGCCAGCCAACTAATGTTAGACCCTGTTGATCATGTTAGACCCTGGAAAGAAAGGGGCAGCATCTTCCCCTCAGGAGATTGTTTCACGCTGCTGAGCTAACAGGTGGAAAATGGCATTACTGCACTGGCCGAGGTCCCTGATCTTCATCACCAAGGGGATATTAGATGCAATTAACACAATGCTGGTGAGGAAGGCTGTGTGTGGGGCCCAAGGGATTTTCTGGGGTGCCCCTTAGTACTGCTGTTTCCAGTAACAATGGTCAATGGAAAGTTGTGGCAACCCAACAAGGTGGGTCCACCACAGGACTCAGACTCTTCAGGAATGGAGATCAGGTAAGAACTCTGACATTGAAGGGGTTATCGGAGGATAAGGAAACCATGGAGCAGTGATTATTAACTACCTTATTTTATTTCCAACCTCCTGAGTGGTATTGTAGCCGTGATTTATTATGTTAATTATTTTCTCCCCTTTCCCTGCTACTTTATATGCAGAATACTAGAGATGGCTAATGTTACAATTTCAGTTCTAGGTGGAAATATAGCTGAATTGTCATTACCTCTTGCTGATATCCCATAGCTGATGAGACTTTCTATTTCTCCTGCTTGGGGAACATGAGCTTTTTCATCTAATTGAAGGTTGAGAAATGATTCTGAGTGGCAAAAAGGGTGGATAGTGCTAGTTATTCTCCATTTACCTTTCCTCTATCCCTCCTCAGCTCTTCTCTTCCTGGCCATATGCTTTGGGAATAGACTGATCCCCCAAGGTCCCCTGCTGTATGGCTTCCAGTGGGTTCTGCTAACGGGAGGCACCCGCATAAGGTCAGAGGGAGGGAAGAGAGGTTATCTGTTTTCTTCCTCTCTCTCCCAGCTTTGTTGAGGTCTTGGCAGTGGCTGTGTCCATATGCAACCACAACTTCTGTTGGGTGGCTATTTCATGGTTCCAGAAATCCCTGGTCTCCAGGAATACCATTCCATCCCCTGTCCCTTTAGGCCTAGGGTAGTCGCAGCTTCTAATTGCTGCAAGCTCCTTGGTGTTTCCATATCCTTTTTTGATGAGATGCGATTCATGATAATAATATGGTAGGGTATAATTTGTCTAAAAAGTTTATCTAGAGAGAGAGAGAGTGGGGACTCTTCCTGTAAGCCAAGACCATACTGACCTATATCTAGTTCTAGCAAACTGAGCAGGAGTCTGAAAGAGTAAGAAGCAGAAATGATATATTGAAAATAAATATATCATAAATGGACAGAATCATAATGGAATAGCACTACAGAATTTCCACATCTACTCCTGCTCCGTCAGTGAACAGTTTCTCCACTTCCTGCCTTCCTGGCTTGATTGCCATATTAGCAACCTACTTTTCTTTTTTCCTCTCTATTCTTATAATTCTATATGTAATTTGTGTATAGTACACAAATCATACACACACACATACACACACACACACACACACACACACATCCAGGCTTTTAAAATCTTGTTTATTTTACAGTGATGAGATAATGCACACTTTTCTGCACTTTGCTTCTCTCACTCAACACAATCTTGGGGAAATCCTTCCAGGTCATCTGGACTAGTTCTTATTCATCTTTTTAATGGCCAAATATTATTTCAAGGTGTGGACAGTTTGTTTAGTCATTTCCTTACAAATAGGTATTCATTTTATTTCTGGGATTTTTAGCACTGTGAGAAATAATACAATAAACTTTCTTACTCTTTTGTCCTTATGTATTGTGGCTATTATTTTTACTGGATAGTCCCAGGAGTAGGACTGCTGTATGTGCACATTCATTTTTAATAGATGTTTACCAAATACTTTTTAAAAGGCTGTAATTCACACATCCACGAGCATTTTCCCTGCACAATTAGACTGTAGCTTTTAAAAAATTTCGTTTTGATGGGAATAAATGCTCATTGTTATTTTATTTTACTTTTCTCTAATTTCCAGTGACTTTAAGCACCTTTTTATATGCTTGTTGACTATCTCAATTTGCTCTACTGTAAGTTTCATATTTTTCTATTGAATTGTTAATTTTTTTCTCATCACTTGTACAGACTCCTTGATTTAGATAATTATGCTATCATCTGTATTACAAATATTTTTTCCTGGATGGTTTTCTCATCTATTAAATTTTGGTTCTTAAACCAAATAAAAAATTTTAAATTTCATATAGAGAAATGCATCTTTTTAAATAGCTACTAGAGTTTCCCTCATTAATTAAGAAGATCTTCTTACCCAGATTTTACATGTTCTGTTATTGACTATCTAATAAGATTTTTTGTATTGCTTTATTTTTTACATTCAAGTGTTTAATCTTTCAGGAATTTATCTTTATATATGGCATAGGATAGGGGCTCTACATTTTTCCCACTTAAGTTGCTAGTAGAACCAGCATTATTTATGAAATAACTCATCCTTTCCTCACTGATTTTTTTTAGCCATAAGTATTTATTTAAATGAAAAATGTCAGTCCCCGCCTCCCACCCCCCATGAAGTAAATCTGTAATGTATTTTATTTTGAACAATTAATTTTGGTCATAAATTCTAAGAGCTGGTTATGGGGAGCGAAGCTCCATATAAGAACTTTCTCAAATGTCTGGAGGACTAAGGCCTCACCTTTATCTTGGGAATTCTCTTTATACTTAGTTCCTAGCTGTCCTCACTGATTTTTATAATACCACCTTTGTTACATGTCAGTTTTTATACAGTATACTGTGATCTAATTCTGGATTTACTATTCTTCTGATCTTTTCCATGTTGATTTGATCACAATAGTGTTAGAATGCGTTCCGATATTTATTAAGGCAAAATTCTCTTATTTTTCATACTTGCCTTGGCTGTTTGGAGATATTTATTCTTTCATATTCACTCTAAGCTTATGGTTTTTTCTTAGTTAATAAGGACAAAAATGCGCTTCTTCCCTGATATTTCATTATTAAAGAGGTCATTTTATTTTAAACTAAAAGCCAATACGATGCTTAATTATAAAGCACAAGCCTTCCAATTATAGAATGCCTTCTACCACTATTACATTGTTATGAAAGGGTTGTCATTTCAATTAGCCCAAAGGTTCCATGTCTTTATTCTATAAATTTTAAGCCTCTACTATATATAGGCTCTTTTCTAGGCACCTTCTAGTTAGGAGAGGCAGATGATAAATGAATAAACAAGCAAAATATATTAAGTTAAATGTTGATGAGTACAATGGAGAAAAATAAAACTGGATCGAGAAGAAAGGGAGTGGGGGTGCCATTTTACATGAGGTGGTTGGAGAAGGCTTAACCGATAAAATAACATTTGAGTGAAGTCTTGAGGGAAGTGAGAGAATGAGCCATTTGACTATTCGGAGGATGATTGGTCTGTGCAGAAGGCCCTGCAGTGAGAGCATGCTTGGTGTATCTGAGGAGTTTCAAGGAGGCCAGTGTGATTTGGGTGGAGTGAGACAGTAGTTAAATATGAAGTCAGAGGTGGATATTAGGCAACTCTTTATCTATAATTATTTTTTACATTTTAAACTCTGAACTCCCTGGAAAACATCTTACAAGAGCAAAAGGTCTTCATGTTCATAATAGCAAAAACCTAGGAACAGCTTAAGTGCCCATTAACAGGGCAGTGGATAAATAAACTAGTATAATTCCACAGTCAATTATTATGCAGCCATGAAAACAGATGACAGTGATATGCAATTTTTTGGATGAATCTTAGCAATTTAATATTAAGGGAAAAAATAAATCCCTGAAGATTACATACAGCATGATAACCTCTTGATAAAGTTATAAACAACTAAAATTTAAAAACAGACTTTTTCCAGAATATATATTGAGGATACGAACTTATCTTTTAAAAAAGAAAGTAAGTGGGAGGTGACTGTTACAGGGGGTAGGGTGAGGAGATGCAATGCTATATGTTGAAGTTATTGAAGGTTATAATTTTTGTTCCATTAAAAATAAGCAAGCAAGAAAGCATACAAATAAATAAGTAGATTTTGTATGAACTAATGCTGAGATGAGTAATGAAGCAAGAATTATTAATCTAATTCTGTGCACCTGAGGTTCACTTAAGAATTATAAATATAAAAAAGGAATTCACAGATGATGAAATACAAATAAATAATAAGCATGTAAAAAGATGCTGAAATTTAATAATAATTACAGAAATGCAAATTGAATTGAGATATTTTAACTAATTGCCAATATTAAATGTTTGATACTACTAGAATAAAATGTAAATATACAAAACAAATAAAATTTTACTAACAGTTTTCTGCTGTTGATTGAAAATAAAGATGTAATCATTAAAGGGCAGTTTAGCAACCTGAATCAAAATTTTAAATGTTTATATCCTCTTACATTAATGATGCCACAATAAGAATTTATCCTCAGATAAATTTACCCAACGGTGTACAAAAACAGATATTTGTACACAAAAACAGATATATGTATACAGATATTTATTGAAAAATTACTTCCAATAGCCCCCAAATTGCAAACAACAGAAAACCAATGGGGAGCTGGCTGAATTAATTATGCTGTATAGCCATAAAATAGAATTCTAGGTAGCATTACACAAAGAATGAGCTTGTCCCTCGAATATTAATGCCAAAATCAAGAGGAGTCATTAATGGCATTTTGAGCTGCTTCTAGAGAGATTTTTTTCTTTTCCCTCATAAAACCGGGAATGTAAAACCAGATAATAGCTTTCTCATATGACCCTTAATTGCCTAGCTCTTTATAAATAGACCCCAGTTCTGTATATAAAAGCTTTCAAAGTAAAAACTCTTAAGGCCAGCATATCTACAATTTGGTGATGGAATAAAAATCTTTCCTGTTCAAATTCAGATGTACAATTATTATTATGTTGTGAGCAGAATTTTTTTTCTTACTTAGGATTAAACCAGTCTGAGAGCTGAGGTTCTGCTTCATGATCCCTGGGTACAAAGAGAAAATCAAGTTAAGAGTAATCCACTCATTCGCAAATACGTATTGCACCCTTATAATAGGACAGGCACTGTTTGGTTCTGGTTCTATTACTATGAACATTTAGGTCAGCTCTTGTCCTCAGGAAGCTGATAAACTAGCAGGAAAAACAATATTAAATGAATAATTACAGTACAGAGTGATAAGGGCCAATAGGGAAAATCTGATCTCCATGGGAGCATATAAATGGGACATCCAGCCTAAATTTGGGATTAAGGGAAACCACTTGGAAAAGAAATATGTGGACTGGATCTGGAAAGATAAGGGCTAGTTCAGAAAAGAGGCCATGACCAAAGGCAGGAGGGCAAGAAACAATATGGATCGTGAGGAGGGAATATATTTTTAAAATTAACAGAGCAGGTAAAATAATGCATATTTAGATAAAAATGCAGATTTAATTAATTCATTTATCAAACATTAGTAGCTTATTATATGATAGATACTCTGTTATGTGTTGAAATAAAATGGTTGAAGTAGGGGTCCAGATGTTCATGTTTGATTTTCATTTAAAGATAGGCCCCACCTAAGGTTTTATTGTACTTTTAAGGTAGTTATTTAATTAATGAGGTTATGAGGGAAATTTCCTTTCATAAATTGGGGATATTTTATAAAATAAGAATAACTTTAAATGACTTTTGCTTCCAGAAAGATGAAATAGTACTAGTTTTTCCTATTTCGATCACGAAGTATAGCTAAAAACTGTGGACATTATATATAAAGCAAACAAAAGAATACTCCGAAAGGTGCAGAGAGGACAGATCAGGTAGGCCTCTTGGGACTCAAGGATTGATTAACATAGCAGTGAGTCCCCTGGGTTTTTCGCCACATATAGCCCAGATTGGGTGCTAGAGAAGCCAACAGCCCGGAAATGCCAATAGGCACAAACACAAAAAGAACCCTGAGGAAAGCTCGCTCTTTAGAGCTAAAGGACAAGGAAAAGGGCAACCTAGTAAGACAGAAAACTATTATACCCTACTCACTGTATTCCAGCTCAGTATCACAGAAAGACTATGGCCCCACGTCCAACCCTTCTGCAAACACCAAGCTGAAAGCTAGACTTCCATCCTCAATAGACTATAATGATGCTCCCTCCCCTCCCCACCAGAGTTAGAGGAGGTTAGTGAGGGTTAGACCTTCCATCACTGCTCAGCAGTTGCGTTCATCCTCCTGTAGTCTGTGTCTGTGGAGACCATGTGGGGAGCCTGAACTCCCATCCCTGCTATTAGTAACAAGGAGCCCCTCCTCCCTAGGGTTCAGTGGAGGCAGAAGGGAGAACCTGAAATTTCACCCCTCAACTGACAGTCATAAGGAGGTGCTACCCTTTCTCAGCTAGAGCAGTGTAAGAGGATGCCCGTGAAAACACAAATTTAAATAAGCTATAGAGTCTCGTAGTACTCAAAATGTCCAGTTTTCAATCAAAAATCACTCATTATACCAAGAATCAGGAAGATCTCTGAATGAGAAAGGAAAATCTGCAGATGTTATAATCACGTAGATATTAGAATTATCTGACAAGTATTTTAAAGCAGCCATGGTAAAAATGCTTCAATGAGCAATCACAAACACTTGAAACATGAAAAAAATAGAAAGTTGCAGCAAAGGAAAAAAAGTCTGATCAAAGATATAGAAGATATAAAGAAGAACCAAATAGAAATTTTAGAACTTGAAAATACTATAACTGAAATAAAACCTCAATGGTAAGCTTAACAGCGTAATGGAGAAGATGGAGGAAAGAATCAGTGAAGTTTAAGATAGTATAATTGAAACCCCTCGATCTGAACAATGGAGAGAAAAAGTATAAAAAAACAAAATGAACAAAGCCTCAGGGACACATGGGACTATAACCAAAGATCTAACATTCTTGTAATTGGAGCGCCAGAAGGAAAGAAAGAGAATAGAACTAGACTAGAAGTATTTTAAAAAATGGCTGAACAATCCCTGAAATTTGGCAAAAGACATAAACATACAGATTTAAGAAACTGAGTGAACCCAAACAGGATAAACCTAAATAAATCCATGCTAAGGTACAGGATAGTCAGATTTGTGAGAGCTAAAAGTGGAAAAAAAAAAAAAAAAACCCTCTTGAAAGCAGTCAGAGAGAAATGATTTGCCTATAGGGGAAAAACAATTTGAGTGAAAGTGGATTTCTCATCAGATACCATGGACCCAAAAGGAAGTGGTATTTTCCAGGTGCCATAAGAAAAGAACCGTCAACCAAAATACTACTCAGTAGGTGAATGGTTAAACAAACATTGACACATCCCTTGGTAGAATAACAAGAAATAACCTTTTGATACACAGTACAGTGTGGCCAGATCAAGGGCATTGTGCTGAGTGAAAAAAAGCTCATCTCAGTAGATCATATACTGTATGATTCCATTTGTAAACATTTTCAAAGGGACAAAATTATAAAGATAAAAATAGATTAGTGGTACAAGTGATTAGGGAGGGCTGGTGAGAGGAGGTTTGGTGTGAGTATAAATGGTGGCTCAGAGGGAACCTTTGTGGTGATTGAATAGTTTTGTATCTTGATTGCTATTGTAGTTACACAAATAACTCTACGTATGCATAAAGTGTTATATAATTATACACGTACTTTGTCCCAACAACACTTCTGTTTTAAATTGTACAATTATGTAAGATGTAGCATTGGGGAAAATTGGGTGAAAGGTTCATGTGACCTCTTTGTACTATCTTTTCAACTTCTTGTGAATCTATAATTATTTCAAAATCAAATATTATAAAGTCCATTTAAAAGTATGTCCCTTTTTGACTTTTCAGACGTGTTTTTAGCTAAAGATATTTCATTATCGGATTGCCCAATCCTTGTGCTTATTCAAAATCCAAATCATCTATGCCAAGCTTCATTAAAAATATACGGTGACAAATGAAGTATTTTTTAAAATTTATTTTTGACAGTTGGTTTCACTAATATCTCAGGTCCTACACAATGGTCAGTAGTGGAAAACATGGTAGACTGATGAGGGCTGTCAATCTAAAGAAAAACATCATCCTGAACAGAGATACTATGGCAAATGTCAAAAACTTGTCTGGTGTAAGCAAGCAAGTGCGTTGAGTGAGCAAAATTTGGAGATGTACACATACACATGTCCATACAAACTCATATACATGTATATATGCATGCATGTGTAGAATGTTTCTGAACTGACACCCAAGATATTTGTCAGTGGTTTTGCCTCTAGAGAATTCAGTGTAGTTTCCTGTCCTTTCTGACTGCCATCACCATTACTACCCACTTGACTCCAGCCAGTTTGCCCTCAGTACAGTTCGTGGAATATTTATGGAATGGAGATTCTTACCAGCAGAGCCTTATCTTCTGTAAGTGCTTCTTTATTCTTTAGGTAAATGAGGGAAAAGGCATTTAGTGTTAAATTTGAACAAATGCTTATTGCAATTAGCATAACAGAAAATCTAGAATTCAGACCCATTCACTTACTTGTTAACCATGTAATTACTAAACACCTATTATATGCCAGGTATAATGCCAGGTATAAATAACTAGTATATGCCAGGTTCTGAAATACATGGCATCCATTTCTGATCTGGCATTTTAGTTCTGGAATCCAAGCCTGCTACGAGCTTATGGTCTATAATTTCCTTTTTGATTAAGCTAGCACATTATCTTCAAAAAGATGATCTTAATATTATTACAAGTGACCTGAATCCTTTCTATTAAGGTACAATACTCCAGAGGGCAAATAACATGTAGAACATGATGCCAAAGCAATGGGGTTAATTTTAAAAGATGGAAAGTAATCTAACTATGAACAGTGAACACACAATGCAATATATATACAACATACTGGTGAATTGTACACTTGAAACTTACTGGATTTTATCAATCAATGTCACCTCCAATAATTTTTAATAATAAAAATAAATAAATAAAAGACATTAGCTCCCACAATATAGCTGATTTTTAAATAGCATCCAGTAACATTGCATTGCTTATTTAAAAAAAAAAAAAAAAAAGACCATAAGGAGGAAGGCATGGCCGAGGTAAGAATTTGAATTTATCTATGCGAGAGAATTTTAGCAGGTTAACAAATTTGTTCCCCAGCACACCTGTGTTTCTACAGCAGGTCACTTTGAGTCTTGTTCCTATTAGATGAAACTTTAATGTAGTTTAAAATACATAACCCCCCCATACTCTCTATCCTCTTATCTTGCCTTATTTTTTTCTTCATAGCATTATTATATAAAATATTATGCTTCTCTATTATGTTATATATTTATTTGCTTATTGTCCATCTTCTCTACCTAGAATGTAAAATTTCATAAGAGCAGTCACTTTGTTTGGGTTATTACTGTTTTCCCAGCACCTAGAACAGGGCCTGGTACCAAGAACGTGCTTAATAAATATATGCTTACTAAAAAAATGAAAGAATTCATTTGTTTATGATTTGATTTGTTCCCCAAAGAGGAGATAATTTTTGATTAGGGAGTGTTTATTAATCTTTTTTGGACAAAACTCAGTATTTTAGATGAAATCTGCCAATCGCTAAAGATAATGATTCATTAATCTTTTATATTTACCGGAAATGATGCTTAATCAACATCAGTAATAAAGCAAATGAAATCAATAACAGCGTTTTCCATTTAGAATTCATTCTCCCCTAGAAGAAAAAATAGAGGAGAAAATGATTTTTTTTGGAAAGTAAAAAACAACTTTCTTGCCATCTTCTAATAACAAATTAATTTATGGAAATTTGGCCACCAACCCAAATGTCTGATTCTAGAATGCTCAGCCTTAGAAAGAAGGCAGATTTGAGTTAAGGAAACTGCCCATATTGTTTGAAGTGCCTGCAAAAATCTCCCTTAGAATGCTGATTCTTTTTAGATTAGGTGCAAAGTGCTGGGTTCCTTTATCACAGTTCATCATGTTTGCATAAAGGAAATTCAATAAAACTCTTGTTCTATTTCACTTGTA